TCTTCATTTGGGCTTAGAGTTCTGTGCTTCTACACTGAGTTAATGAGGACTTGAGGACCCATGATGGAAAGTCTTAGACTTTATGGAGAAAACACAGATGTATTTCAGATAAACCTGGGGTTGTTTTTAATGTGTCTCAGATCTATAAAACAGAAAGGGGGGAAATGGGGGCACCTTAAGTTGGAAAACCATGACAGAGGGGTGAGATAATGCAAAAGATAAATAACGCCTAGCTAGTTTTAAAAACCAGAGGGAACCATATTACTCATCAACTTACTGACAAATTATACATACAACCAGATCAAAGAATGTAATATATGCCTGGTCAATGTTTATCTGAGAGCATTTGGTCTTTGCCAAGCTTTATCTACATAACACATGGTAATTAAAAGTACCAGACTGGTGGAACTAACCTTCTTGGATGTTTAACGCCTGTACTATGAGGCCTATACTAATTTGGACAGAGGGACATAAAAGACAGTTTTTGCTACTTTCCCTGCTAGGTCGACTAAGTTCCAGGAGACTATGAGCATCTCTCAAAATGTCCTGTTACTGTGGTGAGTCACCTGTCCTCTTGATCAAGGAGGCTGTGGAGTCCCCACCAACTGGACCTCAACCAGTGTCCAGTCTACAAAGAGGAGGGTCAACATAGAGGAAACATTTTTCTCCTTTCTGTGCCTTATAGACTGTTACTCTAAATTGACCATGTTCTGGTATAATTCTCATTTATACAAGTTTACAGTTACTTTTATTACATCCTTCACTCTCCCAATTAAAAGTAAACTAAATCTTTAAAAAAGAAAACAAAATGAGCTCTCACAGCCTGAAAACTTATTGCAGCCACAACTCAACATTGAATCGCATCATTACTAAACACCAACCTCCTCCATGTGATAGAATGGTAGCACCACCTCCTTCTCCACAACTAAAGCTCAACAGCTACCACATGTGAAATGAGGAGGGCAGAAAATCCAGAGGGGGAAGAAGACAGAAACAGATGCTAGAAGAGGAACAGCCGACCTTCCTAAAACAAAGGCCTCTACATAGGCTGACTAGATTCGCCAGTAGGATGAGTAGTGGGGAACAGCTGAGGGTGCCGATCACACAGCAGACAGCAGCAGGGATATCAGAGTATAAGGGCTCTAGTTGGGGGAGGGAGGCTATAAGAGGGCGCCATCTGGGAAGTGGGTGTATAGTTGAATAAGATGGTTTGGGATGTTCTGTGTGATACACACACACATACACACAAAAAGAAATCAACAAATTTTTTAAAAATGTATTATATTTGAGGAGGAAGCATGGAAATTTACATCATGTTAATTAGTAGAGGTGATAAATGTAACCATTGAAATCTACCCGATGCCTTTATAGACATACACAGGCGCAAGGATCCAAGTGCAACCGATCATGACTAGTAATAATCAGATACATACAGATTAGAGATGCATGTGCCAACATCTCAGTGTTATGAGATCGGATTTTAAAATCAAATGGAGATCTTTTTTAAAGGCTAAAAACTCATTCAATTGTATGTCCTACAAGGCTTATACTGAGTTCAATATTGTATAACTGTATTAATTCATCAGTGAACCTAAAAATTTTATAACCACTTGTGAAAGAGATGTACTCTTTGCTCTGGAAACTGTTACTGAATTTGTTAAAGCTGTAATGAAATGCTTCTTCTAATCATGTAGTTATTTTAAAAAATTTTTAAAAACAGAGAAAATTAAATGCCAAGGCCTTTTAGGTATATAGAGAGAGCTGTAGAAAGAAATTGAGTAACTATGCTTTTGTCCTTTTGTTGAAACAGTCTTTTAGGTAAAGGTTAGGATATTTGCTACCATCATCCAAGCTACCAAATTGTTATAGCTCTTGGCATAAGCCTATCAGGTTCTAAGGGACCCTTGTTGGTGTCCCTTGCCTGTCACTCAGGGCAGTAAATGATATAGCAGTTTCAGGACTCCCTAAGGTCTCTGCTACAGGATTGTATACTCCTATGATACATCGTCACAAAAAAGCTACCTCCTTACAATACTTCTTTCCATCAAGAGAAACACTGCAGAGGGGGTGTTCCTGCCTTGCCTGCTTGTATTTGGAATCCCTATTTTCCTGGTGGCAGCAAGACAGTAAATATCAAAAGCCATAAAAATAGACAGAGACCAAGGAATTCTACCAGGAATTTATTTTAAGGGCATATTAAAGATACTGTGAGAAGATACACAGATTAAGAATTATCTTTATGGTCACATCAAAGATAGTGTAAAAATGTCTTAAAAGGGAAGTAACCTAAAAGATGCTTGAGGATGTGATTTATTATATAATGACATGTTGTACAACCATTAATAACTTCATTGTTGAAGCACATGGTATAAAAGTGTTCATACTTAAAAATGTAAATTTTATGTTATACAGATCTTCACATCATAAAAGAAGTATTCACAAACAATTTAAGTGTAAAAATTATTTGCAAGTCAGAGTGTAATGATTTCTCACACCTCATATTTTTATGTAAGAACACTTCCTAAAATGATACAGTATGTAGTTCACTTACATACTTAAGTTGTATGTTATTCTTTTTTGTATTTTCTTTGTTTAATATTTTATTACTTTTATGTGTATGAGTGTTATGTCTGCATGTAGGTAAGTGCACCTGTGTCGTACAATGCCCGCAGAGGACAGAAGAGGCTGTCGGATCCCCTGGAACTGGAGTTATGGGCAGTTGTTAGCTGCCATGTAGGTGCTGGGATTTGAACCTGGGTCTTCTGCAAGAGCAGTCAGTGTTTTTAACCGCTGAGCCATCTCTCCAGCTCCGTTTTTTGTATTTTCTAATTCTTCTTCCAAGTATATTTATTACATGAAAACTATAGGGGGATAGATAGCTACATAAGTGAATAGGCCAGAACTCTCCTTCTCCAGTTATATATTTTTTTCTTAATTTGAGCTTCAATTAGTTTTCCTTGTTAAGTAGAAAAATAACCATACAGAAGGAAATATTCGAGAATTTGTTAAAATATGGAGTCCGAATCTACCAATTTGGATGTCTAATCAGATTATAATGTTGAGATATCAAATAATTAGACAATGGAAACAATTCCTTATTGCTGAAGTGCCTGATACTTTTTCCTGTGAGATTTTTCAAGATGTAATGCAAACACAAGTAGAAGGGTGTACCTGCTCTGGAAGTGGGAATCTAATTTTTTGAAAATAGAGGCTGTAATAGAATAGAACTCGTGGACAGTGGACCTGTGGAAAGAGTGATTCTTGATTGATGGACGCTATATTTGAATAGCAGTCATATTTTCATCTCTAAAGTATTGCCACATTGCTTTATAACAGTCCAGTTATTTTGGCACTTTATTCCACAGTATAATCTATAGAAAGTGATTATTAAGAAATTCATATCTGACATCATAATATCTGGTGAGTTTAACAGAGACTTCACTGAGCCCATACAGTGCACCAAATACTACACTGATGTAAAAAAGATTTTTTAAAAAAAACCATACACACACACACACACACACACACCTACACCTATACCTCCTTTCTTCAAAGTGCCTATCATGTTTACTTGATTTAACAGTAAATTTATTCTAGTTTGCCTTCAATTGCTGTGACAAAACACTCTGCTCAATACCAATTAGGGGAGAAAAGGGTTTATATTATTTTATATCTCCTGGGTTAGGGTTAGGGTTAGGGTTCATCCTGAGGGAGCCCAAGGTAGAAACTCAGGACAGGAACCTAGATGCAGGAGCTGAAGCACAGGCCATGGAGAAACACTGCCTACTGGCTGGCTCCCCTGGCCCATCCTCATCCTTCTGTCTTATATAATACAGAACAACCTGCCCAGGGGTGGCACCACCCACAGTGGGCTGGGGCTTCCTACATCACTCAAAAATCAAGAAAATGCTCCACAGACATGGCCATAGGCCAGTCCAATGGAGGCAGGTGCCCAGTTGAGGCTCCCTCTACCCAGATGTGTCAAGGTGACAAGTAAAGCTATCTAGCACAAACAGTAAACTATCACAAAGCAATCATACAGCAAGCAAACAGAGTTTATATTTGTCCAAAATAATTTTCTCAGGGCAGCTGTCCACCCTATGAGATACCCTCAGAGTAGTCAGAACACAGAATTGTATACCCTTCTACAAAGGAAGTACCTAAATGTTTCCATTTCTCATGAAGTCTTGGCATATATCATAGTTTCAGTCAAGGGTCTTATCTCAAGCCAGGTGTGGTGGTGCACGCCTTTAGCCCCAGAGCTTCCGGAGGCAGAGGAGGGTGGACTCTGTGAGTTCAAGGCCAGCCTGGTCTATGTACTGAATTCCAGGACAGCTGAGGCTACAGAGAGACCAAATAAAAAAAAAAATCTCAAAGTATATTAACTGAAATATAGGTAGGTATCTAGGTCTCAAATAGGTATCTATTTGAAGTGCTTTAAAAGATAATGTTCTGGGTCTGGAGAGATGGCTTAGCAGTTAAGAGCACTCGCTGGTCTTGTAAGAGGACCCAGGTTTGGTTCCCAGCACCCACATGGCAACTAACAACCATCCATAGCTCCAGTTCCAGGGGATCTGACACCCTTTTCTGACCTTGGAGAGCATTGCACAACATGTGTACTTATGTACGTGCAGGCAATAGACTCATACACATAATAATAATAAATAAAAAATAAAATAAAAGATACTGTTCTTTGCCAACTAGTATGCTCTGATATGCTGCTGTTCAGTGTATCTAATACCAGGGTGTGGTCTTCTGCTGTTTAACTTTCTGTTTCTCTTTTCAACCACCTCTGCAAAGCAGGTGATGATTATAACACTCATCTCATTAGAGAGGTTGCAAAATGAAACAAGGTCATGTGTCAAACCATCCTAGAGCAGTGACTGACCCCCTAGGGCTTCCAAAAATGTGAGCTCAATAGTAGGAGTCATGCTAATAGTAACAGTAAAATATAACTTTGTATGTATAAAGTCTGACTCTTCTAAATTTAAAAATTATAGCCGTGAGACACACAAGATTGCAGTGTTTTACATTGCTGAAGGTCAAGAAGACAAGTGTTCAATCCTATCCAATGAAAGAGGAAGCCAAGCATATGAAGACTTTGTTGCTGGTCTTGGATGGGAGGTAATTAATTTCCTTCGATATGTAGTTACTAGTATACTAGTGGTTTTTAGACTAGTCATTGGTTATACTTCTTATATATGTTTTCACATTTAAATATAGCATGCATAGAGTCCTTGAAGAAAACGTTGAACTTAAAACATTATTAATTTCTTTTCAATGTTCTGTCTGTGAACTTTTGCTTCCCCTTAAAATTGTTTTAATTTGCTTTGTATCAGACTTGAATAGTCCGAAGGGCTTTAACTAGCTATAGACACTTTGTGGCAAAAGAAGACAAATGTGACAAATGTGGGCAGAGACACAGTAGCTTTAGCCACAATATTGGAATTTGGGGAAAAAAGAATTGATGACATGATAGATATGAAAAATGAAGGAAAACTTGGATAAAGTTAAAAGTTGGAACTAGGGATTGAAGAGATGTCTCTGCGGTTAAGAGCACTGGCTGCTCTTATAGAGAACCCAGATTAGATCCCCAACACCCACATGGTACCTAACAACCATCTGTAACTCCAGTTCCAGGGAAATCCAGTGCCCTCTTCTGACCTCTGTAGGCATTGCATGACACAGGTGCACTTACACACTTGCAGGCAGTACGCTCATACATAATAAAAATAAAATATTTTTAAATGTATAAATTGGAATTAGAATATAGTACCATGATGATTTAGCACTGTTTCCCTGATGCACATACCCAGGATGATCAAGTTTGAAGATTTTTCTTTATTAAATGTTAAACTAATAGACATATACATACAGACCTCCTAAGAACATAAATCTAAAGAAAATATATCCCTAGAATCTGAAAAGAATTCAAAGTAGTCCAAATGGAAATAAAAATAGCTAAAATAATGACATTTTTTTAATTTGAAATTTCCTACTTTTGATTTGTCAGTTAACCTGGGCTAGGAAGAAACTGGGTACAGAAGAACATCTTGCCTTTAAGAGTTCAGCTTTAGCAAGGGACCAGTATGAGTCCAAGATTAAGACCATATACTTTCCAAAACCCAAGTAGATTTGAGTTCAAGAGATACTGCACTTCAGTAAACTACTGTTCTTATTAATAAGGTTACTTCTTGTTTGTTACTGAATATAATTATTATTTAACACACACACACACACACACATTATCATTCATTCTCAACAGAGTTTAAAGAAACAAGTAAAACAGGGCTGGGCATGTGCCTCAGTGGTACTTGAGTGTGCCTCAAGAGCACTTGCCTAGCATGCTCAGTGCCCTGGGTTCCATCCCCAGAACCACAGAAGAAGAAAAAGGAATGAAAAGACAGGACTAAGCCGCGTGTGGTGGCACAGGCCTTTAATCCCAGCACTCGGGAGGCAGAGGCAGGCGGATCTGTGTGAATTCCAGGCCAGCTGTGGCTACAGGGAGACCCTGTCTCAAAACAAACAAACAAAAAAACAAAGTAAATATTCATGCCATAAGTTTGAAATGAATCATGACTCATAGACTGCTGGCAGCAGTGTAAACTAGAGCAATCTTTGTTTGGAAAGCTGGTTTAGTGATGGTTATAAATCGTCTAGCATCTGTTTGCTTTGACCCAGGATCTTCCAGAAACACTCCTTTCAGTGTTTGAGAAAGCAGAAAGCCCCACAGTTCCATCAGTGGGGAAACTGTTGTGTGTGTATATATTCATGCATAATGGCCCCAGAGTGTAAGAGTAGTCAGGCTGCAATTTGGATATACCAAAGAGATGCATAAAGTGTTTTCATTATGTGACGAGGCAAAGTCACAACAGGATGTTTTTGAGAGAGATACCCTTTCATGTGACTTTTATTTCAGCAGAATTGTTATAATTGTTCTTTTTCTTTAGTTGTTAATTGCTTGTCTAAGTGATAAACTTTATTTTAGGTCTATAGATAGAAGAAAAACTACCATTTCTGCTTTTAGGTAACCACTGAAAGTCTTGAGACATCTGCACAGATAGGGAGGGAACTACTAAATATTCATATATATCTGCATACACATATATATGAGGGAGCAGTTAGAGAAATGGAGAGAAGTATTGGAGGATTTTTGTGTGTGTTTTGGGTTTTGTTTTATGTATATGTGTGTGTGTACATGTGTGTATCTGTACACACATGCCCTGGGGCTCAAACCCAGGTCTTGCAAATACTAGGCAAGCACAATACCACCCAATCCTTAAAATTTTGACAGTGGTTTTCGTCATGTAATAGGATTGCAGACCATTTTTACGTTCTTCATTTCTTTAAGATTTTAATTTTATCTAACTTCGTATTATATTTATTTGTACTCAAAAAGATATTTTTAAAGCCATATTCATGATTAATGAATAAGTACAACTCAGTTTCACCCTTACTTTTTTCTCTGTGTGACCTTCATAAGGTGGATCTTTCAACTCACTGTGGATTCATGGGTGGTCTTCAGCGTAATGGCAGCACAGGGCAGACTGCCCCTTACTATGCTACCTCGACCGTGGAGGTGATTTTCCACGTTTCCACTCGGATGCCATCAGACTCAGATGATTCACTCACCAAAAAGGTAAGAGGGTTCTTTGAGAACAAGATTCAATGTCCTAATGTGTGGATCTGGGTGATGACCAAGCCCTGCCTCACACTAAGGCTGCTTTACTCAGGGCTCCATGTCAGTGCTGCATTTTCTCGGGCTATAGATGTGGTGAATCTAACATACCAGCTTGGCACAAAAATAAGTCCTGGATCTTCTCCCACATTTATTACTTGAGGAAAAAAATAACATTTTACCTTATAGGTTAGCCAAGGCCACAGATGGCCATCGTGACAAAAGTGTGGTGAGGCTCTAGGAAAGCGCCCTTGCCACGCTTGCTAGGTGAGTTGGTAGTGTCTGCCAAAGTGACCTGTGCTTACCCTGTTCTCCTTCACCTTTGGCCCCTTGGGCAGTTTTCTCTGGAATTCAGAAGAAATTTCATGACCCAGAGTTTCCACCAAGCAACATGGGCTTCTACTTCCCAGCCTGCAGCCTGCTTAGTTCAGGGGACTTTAGTGAAATGAAAATTTAGTCTGGTGAGGAAGCCACTCTTGTAAGCTTCTTGAGGTAGAAAAGAGTCCCAAATCAATTGTGATTTGTGCTTACCCTTTGGGCTGTTAGTGACAGGGCCTACATTATCAACCTCACACTCAGTCTCCTCCAACAACACAGATTTAAAGAACAGAGAACAATACCTCAGGTACTGACAAAGGCTGCCCATTGGAAGCATGGGGATGTGGTTTCAGCCAGGCCCTGGAGACAGATAGTCTTGGGCATAAGTATGTTCTCATTACTCTACCAGACTGTACCTCGGTTCCTCATTAACTGAGATTGAAAATGGAGCCTATAACATAGCGTTGTTGAGTCAAGTGAGCTAATGCCTGAAAAACTGTGCTAAGGGACAATGCCTGGCAAGAACTCTTTGACCATCAGCCCTTGTCATTGTCCAGTGCTCTCACGGATTCTCCTTCCCTTGCCCCATTAGCCAGGTGATCAATACTAGCCCATGGACCCACTGTATCTGCTTCATTTCTTCTGTCTCTGGTTTTGCCTTTTCACCACTCTCACCACCAATGTCTGCATGATGTGCACCATGAGAACAGTGCATGTGAGATACCATCAGAACTCAAGTCACAGACAACTTTCATGGTGATAGTGTCTTAGGTGTACAAACCACAGTTGGCATTCGGAAGCTCGGCAGCCTTTCCCCTGCATTGTCCTGCATGCAACCCTGGCCCCTAGCCTGGGAACCTCACAGCTAGTGGGAGTGCTAGCCACATGCTGGTTCCCAAAGGTATGCTGCTTGTCCATCTTGGGTTTTGATGACTGCAGTGTTCTCAGAGAATAGGACCCCACTGTCCAGGAGGTCACTGGTATCACAGAATCTAGGGCAGCTTACTAAGACCCCAGGCTGCACTCACACAGTTATAAAATTTGGGGCACCTTGTAAGTTATCGATCTTCTACAGATGTGTCACTATAGTCTATGATTTTCTTATGATGGAACATTATTTTGTTAAAAGATATACATATAAAATATTTTTAAATATTTCTTAAGAAGCTTTTTTATTTCGTTTATTTTTTTAAAAACCATACTGTTTTCTTGACAGAATGCTATGCTATAAATAATGTTCCAAGGGTTGGTCTGGATGGAAGATTCCCCACTGCAATAATCAAAAAGCAGCTAAAACCTTTTGCAGCTCTAAGATTTAGCATCATTAGTGATAAACTCTCTTTATCAGGATGTCTCACAGCTAGATGAAAAATCAGTCACAGTAACAGCAGCCCACAGTTCCATGTCTTATTCTAACTAAATTGTTCCTAACAGCTTAAAAATGAGCTGCAAAATTCTAAAGTGATTCATGCTCTCTTCTGCCCCTGTCATGGGGGGGACTTTTCAATTCTGCAATCCGGTTGCAACCCCATACTGAACTCTTGATCCTTCACTGCAGAAATTTGTTAGCTCTAGCTAGATTAGATTTTTCACAGCTAATCTAACTGCTGTAGGGGTTTGCAGAGTGGGGACAGAGCTGTGCTATTGGATTTGTCCAATTCATTTGACTCCAGGACTATAATTGCACTTATGTCTTACAAGGCTTTTATAGCCTCAGGCTGGCCAGCCACATAAAAAACAAATTGGCAGTGATACAGTGCGAGTGAAAAGGGATGAAAGGCCCACATTATCAGTCTCCAAGCAGCACTGTTCTGGCAGGAAGTTTCTTGGTTAATTTACAAATAAAACTTAGATTTTAGGACGGGCACACTGTCAGCTGAACAATGGGGATGTCAGGCCTGACTGTGACTTAGTTTAAAGTAGCAGCCCGGCCCACTGAGGAGCAGGGATTCTTCAATCAAACAGACGACTCCTTCTGGAGCCAGCTGGCGATGTAATGCAATTAGTCGGGAAAGGAGGTCAGCCTGTTAGGTGTGGACCATGACCAGTGTCACCAGTGGCGTGCAGGCGTGTGGCCCCAGCAGCAGCAGGCAGAGCACCTCAGGCAGAGAGGCTTGAGAACTCTGTCAGGACTTGTGGCACGACATGGGCTTGGTTTCCTAAGACTCGAGAACCTGTTTGTTCTGGGCATGGTGAGCCTCCAGGCCTTCAGGAGCCTGTTATGTGCTGGAAGCTGGAGCATGAATGAATGTAGCCCCCAAGTGCAGCTCCTTCCAGTTCAAGACTCACCCTCTCCCCGCAGAGACTCATGCCTCAGCTTGCCTTGTGATCCTGGAGCAAACTTGTCAGTGGAGGTATAACTTAAGGGCTACTGATCAAAGTTCTGCAAAACTCACAAAGTGACATCTCTTTGTTGAAATTCATTTTAAACTGAGTGCCATTTTAGGTTTCAAGAATATTCTGTTCTGTTCTAACATGGTAGGCAGTTTGTATCAATTTTATCTACTTGGGTTCTTATAATAGGCATAAGGGGGTTTTCTTTTTTTTTAGACAGGGTTTCACTATGTAGTTCTGGCTGGTCTGGAACTCACTAGATAGACCAGGCTGGCCTTGAACTCACAGAGAGCCACCTGCTTCTGCCTTCAGAGTGCTGTGGTTAAAGGCATGTGCCACCAAGCCTGGCAAGAGAGTATAATTTTTTTCTCTGTGCTCCAAATGTGCCAGTCAATTGGTCCCACAGCCTTAGCTCTCAGTTTTGTGATTTAGCTAATTAAACTTTAACATGTCCAGAGAAGTCTGAGGCTCATGACACTGAAAGCAGCTCTGAGAGGTGAATATTGCTGCACAAGAATAGTTCTTCCTTAATTGTAGAATTGCCACACTGGGAGGAAGGGTCTATTAGTGTGATACTGCTCTCCTTTGCTGTAGTTTTCTCAGAATACTGCTGCAAATAAAATTAGGAGAGATTTACTTGGGTTATATAATTGAGTAACCCAATTTAGAAAGGGGCAGAGTAACTGCAAAATTTCAGCAATCACAGTATCATCTCAGACCTATTGCTCTGTAGCCTGTACTTGTGATGTAAAGTACAGAATACCATAGGTATTTGGCATTGGGTGGTAACAGCAAGACTGAGGTATTTGGTGGGTAGGTTGTTTCCATTCAGATGTTTGTTCCAGCATCATAACAAAGAGTTATAACTAAGGGCCAGCTCTCTTTACAGGATGAGGGCTATAAGACTTCACTCCAGGGAGTCCCAGTTCTTACAGTTACCTCCTGGTTCATATTTTTCCCAAAGTTTTGAGTAGATACTGTCCACATTTACCATAGAAACCTGTCTATCTTTGTTGCTGATGATGCTGGCTTTCACACTGTCACTACAAAAGGACTGAGGTGCAAGACAGTGTTGTAAGATCTTTGCAAGTTGTACTGAAAAGGAGAAAGGCAGGCGACAGGGAGGAAGGAGGGAGAGGGATAAATGGGGGGAGGGAAGGAAGGAAGGAAGGAAGGAAGGAAGGAAGGAAGGAAGGAAGGAAGGAAGGAAGGAAGGAAGGAAGATAGGAAGAAAGATAGATCTGTAGGATCTAAGCTAGGAATAGGGCTAGGATGTAGCTCAGGGTTAGAAGCATAAAGCACTGCATGAAAAGGCCTTGGGTTCAGTTGTCAGTATTGCTAAAAGAACAAAAGAAAAGAAAAATAGGACTAGACAGAAACCTTCAGCTATGAGAATTCAGTGCTTTTTTATTTTTAAAAGAAAGTATTTGTTGTAGTAGATTGGCTACATTTTTTTACCTGCTACCTTTTGAGCCTTTAATATTTGTGTAGGGGTAATGTGGGAGTGAGGAGAAGAAAAAGGTGATGTACTGAGTAATGTTTGCATTTACAAACTTGTTGCCTCCATTAAATTGTTCTGGATCACTGCAACTTGTGCTCAGCCTCCACATTTGCACTTGTCATGGAGCCCCTATTCAGACACAGTTGAATCACACATCCTCTGCATAGGTACAAAGGTACAGGTGCAGGTCTCTTTTTAAATAACTGACTTGTACAGTCATTCCCAGAATTATGGGGAGTGAGAAATAACCAGGCATTGCAGCAAACTTCCTTTGTAACCTGATGAATGCAAAAGAGGTCATGTTGGGGTCACCTTGGATTTTCTGTCTGTGATCGAGTAGTCTAAAAAGAATACAGCATTCACACCAACATGTTTTAAATATATGCCATTCCAGAGTATCCTTTCTTTTGTCTTTTAGGATAAAACCAAAACATTGGGCTTGATATAACATCAAGGTGCTTTTAGATTTCATCCCTTTCACTGTTCCTCTGTTACTTAAGAAAGGAAGCAAGAAGCACCTGCTCAGGTGCCCCATAGCATTCTCCTGCTGTGACACAGAAAAGAACCTGTCACTCCCAGAAGGCATGGCTGGCAGTCCGTCTTTACAGCTTAGGAACTTCAGTGTGGACAAGTGTTTTTGTCATTATGATCTGTTCCTTTTAATCATGCTTTCAGGCTTTCTTGAATGATTTCATTGCAGCTTTCTCCAGTGTGGGATGGTGGGGTCACCACATAGGTGATTGATACAAGGTATTCTTGCATCTGACCCAGGTTTCCCCAAGAAGAACTCTAAAGGGTCCCTGGAGAGGTTCCTATGAAGGTCCTCTGAGAGACACCAAGAGTCTGAGTTTTTGGAATTTTCAGCCTCTTCCTTCATAAAAATGTCAAAACAAATGAGCTATAAGAATAAAGCAGCTTTGATTGTAGGCTTAAATCAGGGGTGTCCCACCTGCTGCCCGGGACGTCTATGAACAAAACCCAACACAAAATTGTAAACTTATATAAAACAGTAATTTTTTATGACTTTGTTTTTGGTTGTATGGTTTTCAGTGTGAACTTTGTAGATGACAGCACTGTGTCCCACTGTCCCACAAGATAACGCAGGCAATACACTCATACACATAAAATAAAAATAATAAATAAAATATTTTAAAATTTCTGTATGTTCTCACAACTTGTGGGCCATAGGTTAGATATCCTTGGCAATGATAATCATGGAATAGAGGCCTGCAGTCCATGGCCCACTCTTTCATGCAGTTAGGTGCCCTCAGGCATGCAGAGCCTTCCTGAGCACTCATTTCTTCCTTGTTACATAAGTTAAAGATGATGTAGTTACCTTAGAGAGCCAAGAGAAAAGTTAAACAATTTCTGTAAACACTTTTACACTCTTTAAATGCTAGGTACTAGTGTTCTACCAAATTTAAATAATATATTAGTTTCCCTTTTAAAATACAATTTTAGGGGCTGGAGAGATGGCTCAGCAGTTAAGAGCCCTGACGGAAGACCCAGTTCGATACCCAGCACCCACATGGTGACTAAAACAGTCCTTAACTCCAGTTCCAGGGGGAATTCGATACCCTCTTCTGACCTCCACAGGCATTGCACAACACAGGTGCACTTGCATACACGTAGGCAATACACTCATACACATAAAATGAAAATAATAAATAAGGGGCTGGAGAGATGGCTCATCAGTTAAGAGCACTGACTGCTCTTGCAGAGGTCCTGGGTTCGATTCCCAGCATCCACATGGAGGCTACAAACCATCCTTAACTCCAGTTCAAGGGGAATCCAAAACCCTCTTCTGACCTCTGCAGCATTGTACAACATGGATGCACTCACATACATGCAGGCAATACACTCATACACATAAAATAAAAATAAAATATTTAAAAAAAAAAAACATTTAAGC